ATTAACAAGAATGTTGCATAATATGTGTTGTCCCTTTTCAAAGAAACAAATAATATGTCTGTTTAAGTTAAATGGTTAATGTGCTCTTTGTTTCTAGAGTTATATAAACTTGTATGACTAAAAACAGCACAGTATTAGATTAACAAAAGTTCCATCCATCCATCCATTTTCTTCCTCTGAATCCATTTACACTTAGCGCCAGCCCCTCACTGATCCTCCTGCTGGTGTTGGAGCTGAGATCTTTCAGCGGGGGCTTCAGGCAAAGTGGGGTTACGTGTCTTGCCCAAGGACACAACGACAGCAGTCATAAGTGGGAGTCGTGAAGTAGATCTTATGGTGGGCTTGAACCCACAACCTTCAGGCTCAAAGGCCAATGCTCTACCAACTGAGCAAGTGTCGCCCTTAACAAAAGTTTTTGTGTAATATATCCGCCATCACAAAATACAATAGGATACAGCGAAGCCATTTCCCAGCGATAAGAACAGTGATTATATTTTAGATTATCCAGAATATGACTAAAAAGCATGAAGTCCCTTTATAAAGCTTCTTAGCACAGCGGATCAGCGAGTGAATTTAAATCAAGGCTACGCAGCATTGGAGTACAGTGATTTGGCTAATCTCTTGTTGCATATTTCATTATTATCATCACATATTGTAAATTGAAAGAGTGTTTTCCTCCTCCTCTAAAATACAGGTGATGCATGAATTAGAACGCTTTCATCAACAATGTCTTAAGAAAGTGAATAAGTGGGGATGAGACAAACAGTGTTTACATGTTTTGCTTTGATTACAGTTTAATTCTACATCACTCAGAGCGCACAACTCACAGGAGCGCTGATGACGCCTTTCATCGTTGCTATCGGAAATCTCTATGTCATTCATGTTTTGTGAGACTTGACAAGAAGACTTTGAATAAAACCCTGGAGAAGCTAGATAAAACCTGCTTTTTTCAGACAGAATTGCCATGATGCACATCCAAATTTCTTGATTATGAAGAAAGCGAAGGGGGAAAACTGAAATGAAAGCATACGCAGAAAGTTTTTGCTGATATAACCGTCAACTAAGTGTGTCTATAAGTCTACTTAAAACGCTTAGGTATCAGCAGAGACAGCTGCGACACCCTCATTTCATGATTGTGTGGAGACAGTGCACTATCAAGGCTTCAGAGCGCTCCCAAAGCTACATTTCCGGTGACAAAAAGCTGCACGCAAAAGCCTCCTGAAGGATTCATCTGTATCCTAATATTTCCAATCCAATTTAGCAGCCGGAGTGGTCTGAGTTTACCAATCTTTGCTTTCCAAGACTCTGTGTGCCGAGGCTTGAGGGGTTCAATCAATGGAGCTTTGATCTCGGCTGGAACCATAATTATTTAACATTGTTACAAGGATTTCTCTAATCCATCCTACCATTAAATCCCTTTTACACCCTCATCTTCTGCAGCCTAATCTGCATCTGGGTGCTCCGTTTGTCTCTCTCACTCATTTCAACTAGCCCCTCCCTTCATTCGACACCCTGACTTTTTAATGGACTTGGATGCTGAGTTAGAAGACGCCTTGTTTACTCTGAAAGCAACCTGAGAGTATTCAAACCGTGAGTGCTGTGCAAGTAATGGTGCAGGGAAAACATTAGATTTTTTTTTCACACAACAGCCTTTCTTCGTCACAACTATGGACATTTCAAAGTCCTGCCCCTGATAGTCCAAAGGTTTAATCCCATCTGTTTATTTTGGTGATCACTTTGACTTACAACAAAAAGAGCCCACTGTCCTTTTGCAAATATTTGCGTGTCTCTGTGGTTCACCCTGATATAAATAGCGGCACGGGCGACCGCAAACATTTGTTGAGGCACCTGCCACAGTATCGTGCCCATCTGCTCCTCCATTCCTCTTAGCTTGACATATGTGCATTAAACCTGAATTGGCGATTGTTTTTTTGTGTTTTTGTATTTCCACAAAAGAAAGAGGAACGCTCCTGGGTTGGCTGGAGTCAAAAAACTGGACTTTTTACATGTGCCTGTTTGATGTAGGCGGAGGGGGTGAGATTGTCTTAAGGGCTTGTCTGTGCGTCTGTCAGGTAGCCTCTCTTCGGACTGACCCCGGCCTTGGCCTGGCCCTTTTCCAGCTGGCACAGGCCATCAAGCATGCTGGGTAGTGCCGGCCATCGGGAACAGCCAAGAGATTTACGGACAAGGTGATCATATTGCTTCTGTTCTCTGCCTCGTTTGACTTTTTCAGAAAAAAATGACAATGCTTTTGTTTTAAGATATTTCTCCATCTATCCATTTTCTTCCCCTTAATCCATTTCTGGGTCGGGAGGTGTCAGTTAGAGCTGCACCCAGTACACATAGCACCAGCCCCTCACTGATCCTCCTGCAGGTGGTGAGTCCACAGGAGCCTTGATCTTCAAGCAGGGGCTTCAGGCAAAGTGGGGTTACGCGTCTTGCCTAAGGACACAACGCCAGCAGTCATCAGCAGGAGTCATGAAGTAGGTCTCGTGGTGGGCTCGAACTCACAACCTTCAGGCCCAAAGGCCAATGAGAATTAAGATATTTCTTCTTCTACATAAATATTAGAGCTGTCTTCCTTTAGTTTACTTGATTAATCGGTTTTAGTCAACCAAAATTTGCAATCACAGCTGCAGAAATGATCAAATAATTATAAAATGTGCATATAAACCATATCTTAGAATGTATTAAAATGTTTTCTATCTATAGTAGAGTTGATGGCGACAACATTGTGACAGTTTTCATTTGACATTCAATATTTCCATCCTTTTTGCACTGACTGTAATCGCTGCAGAAATGTACTTAAGGAAACCCTGGCATTTGGCTGACTTTTATGAAGGGGAGTGGTTTACATGGAATCATTTAGATAAGACTACGAACAAGTTCATTAGGAGAGTTAGCTTGGTACCACACACAGCATTCCCAATTAGCCCAGAGGAGAGAGAAAGACTGAGCCAGAGTCAGATCCATATCACTGCTGGTCCATGAAAATGAAGAGAATAGCATGTAACGCTATCTCACAAATCACAGGCTGATTGTGAAACATCTGTGACGAGAAATGAACATGAGACACAAGATGAGAGCGCGATTGGCTTAAGGACATACTTGTGGAGACGAGAGAGAGAGACGAAACTCACTGGGTGTTCCACATCAGAGCCCCAGCACTGCGCACAACACGGCCAGCTTTAGCTATCAGATGAATAGTGAGTCATTGTCAGCGCCGGTCCGCACAGAAAGACAATCGCAGCAAATCGGACAGCACTCACCATGACTTACCAAAGTGGGGATGAAAAAGAGGCACAAAAAAGTTCAATTACATCATGTAAATTGTAAAGGCTTTTGTTGTTATTCAGCAAAAGGGAAGCGCTATGGAGGTATTTCAATAGATTCACCAAAGCAGGTGGGCATGTTCGAGTGAGCCACCTCATTAAAGGCTTCAGTCTCTCTTTATGTGACGGCCATTACACAGCCTATTCACATGCACAGTGATTAAAAATTATCTGTTGGTGATCATAATCACACCTGCTTAAACTTAAGCCAAAGAATAACAAAGAACTTTTCAGCACTCACTATCTGAACATTTACAAAGAGATTAAAGGGGAGACAGTTCCAAACTAAATAAATTTGCTTTTAATCGCTTTGAACAGGAAGTCATGTCATTTCAAATGTTATCTGATTGTCTGATTCCCTGCTTTATTCAAATTATAACATGGCCATCTGACTTTTTCAGCACAATGGGAAAAATTAAAAAGGGAAATGACCTTTCATGGCAGCCATGATTGGAGAGTGAATGGCATTATTATGTGCCAAGATTAATTTTTGCCCAGTCTATGCAGCCCATAGAGAAAACAGAGGAGGGGCACAGATGCTTCAGTGAAAACTACTCACTAATTGGTTAGAATATCATAGAGATGTTAAAAAACGTAAATAAGCACATATGGCCCTGATGATGAACTCTTGCAGTGTGGGGAGATCAGACAGGAAGCTTGATGTATGTAAACGCGTCTGTGAGGATGGGGCGGCCATGTGCTCGCTGCCATTTCTCACTATGTTGCGCTGCTCGGATAGGGCAGTGTTCAGTCGATATCACCTGATGACTATAAAGCACTGAGGTTTAGCACAACACAGAAAGGACCTGATGTGTCATTCATCCATCGCTTTAGAGACACAGTCAGTCTCACCGTGCTCTTTGGAATTCTCATTCATATGCTGAAGGCTACAAGTAACAAGGACTGTAATTACAGTCTGTCATACATCTCCACATGCTACATCCATCCCTTCTTTTCAAAGCTGTATTTTGAAGCTCAGCATTTCTTTGCCCAAAAGGCTGTCCTCCTGGTGTGCTGCCTTCTTTTTGTCAGGGCCCATGGTTGGGCACTGACCCCCTCAGCCCTGTCTCCGACTGATCACAGTGATGGTTTATTACTGTCGTCCCTGCACTCTTATCTTTAGCCAGCAATGCTCATTTCCTTCCACAGATTTAAATGCAAATGTGAAATTTAATGATAAATGCATTATCTGATAGGTGTGATAACACTGATTCACTGTCAGTATAAAATACACACCCCAGGGGGCGCGGAGCCAGCCAGCACAACTTGCCTAAATCCACTTTTTCTTCCTCTCTCTGTCTTTTTGACAATTGCATGTACCTGCAATAAATTCTTGAGGTCATTTTGTGCGTTAACAAAGAATCATATTTTGTGCATTCAGCAATGTGGCTCTAGACCAGTGCTGAGCAGTAATTACGCATTCAATGCATTATCCATCACCTTGATAAAGTTAGTCTTTACAGGAGAATGAATAAAACAAAAGCATGTGAGTCTTGTAATATAAAATGTTTATATGTGTTATATATATATATATATATATATATATATATGCATCTTAGGAAGCACATCATTGATTATAGAGTTGAAGGGAATCAGTTGTTTCCTTCCCGTTATGAATTCCTGGAACATTGTGCAAATTTGGACACAGCCTCAATGGTCGTCACTTACTTGGCCCGTCGAATTCATCTGGACCCACTGCAGCCTGTCGGCTCTTCTCGCTCGGCTCCATCTCCGAGTCCCCTGCTTCTCGGTTGCCATCTTCCTCTCCTGCAAGATGCAAAAAATTAAGTTAAAAAATCAGGAATTTATTGTATGAAAGTTACTTATTGACTCCAAACTAAATGTATTTGTTGCCACACACATGGTGCCAAAAGAAACAATACAGGAACCCATGATGCAAACTACATATATTTTCCACTTAAGTTTATGATATTTAAAGTGCAACATTGTATACGTAGTTGTCACTCTCAATGCAGTATGTGTGGTAGATCCAATACTCTTTCATGAGTTTTATCCTCTTTTTTCACACTCTTTGTTAGTAGGGTGGATACTGTAAAATGTCCTTGTGTGCATAGTGTATGTTGATGCATTATGGTTATGTGTATTGCTCCAAGCACAGGGGTCCAGCTGTGCACTTTTATGTACAGGGGTTCCCATGTGTGCCTGCAGGAACAGGAGGCAGGCGTGTGGAACAGGAAGGAAAGCAATGTGTGGGAGCGAGGTGGCTATTTATTACCGTTTGATCTATTGTGGAGCTATCCCAAATGTGTGTTATAGGATGTTGTGCTGATTTACAGTCGGCAGTGCACCTCCACCGTGCTCCAGGATATTTGGGTATCTCTCTCCAGGATGTAAGTGCCATCGGATTGTTTAACAGCCCCCACCTTCGGTTCTACAGGGCCGTAATAGTGACCACAATACACCTAGCAGTGCTTAGCCAGTGTTCCTCAAAGCTCCATAAGTACTGAGACTACTTTTGTATGCATACAGTAAGCACAGTTCGTACTCTAAGTTTATAGCCACATAAATCAGTTCTTATATGCCCCCAGTGTCACGCTCAAAATAAATCCAATGTGGCTGACACAGAATCTTTCCAAAGTCTACAACTAAGAGCAAACCTGCCCTGAGCGTATGGGGCTAGTCGATAGTTTGCAGAAAAATATTTCCTCCACTTTTGTCACCTTATCGTTTCTATCCCTTTGATGTTTTAAACCCAATAGTGAGTGGTCAAGGGCAGGCCTGGATTACCACAATGGATTACTACACTTCATACAGTTGAAATAGGGATGTCTAGATTATGAAATGTGAATATAAAAATGGCAAAATTCACAAGACTCATAGGGGGCTTCTGGTACTCAATGTGCTTGGGAGGTTTGGAAGAAAATACTAATTATAACTTATTTTGTACAACTGCTGCATCATCTCACGTAGATTACAAAGAATGCACTCACCAAGCATGTCCATCTTTTTGACATGGTTCACTTCAAAGGATGGAGCCAACATTGCCAAAAGGATGTCAGCTTTGCACTCGGAAAAAAACATATAAGACTGATGAGATACTGAAGGATAGCCTGCTCACGTCCTAGTTACAGTAGAAGAGGTCATTATGACCCACTTTTGCTTATGCAAAGTGTCTGGCACACTTCTCGCCCTCTCCCAGTACATTGTCAGAGCACACAAGCAATAAATTCCCCACTATTTATTGTTGGGCTTGGAGAGAACCTCTTTAGAATACCAGTCTCGTATTATGATGAGGATAACAAAGGCGCATATCAACAGTTCCTTCCAATGGAGCGGAGTTTAAAAAAGCGAGGAGATAACATTAAAGGCACTACCTTGATCTCAGGCGAACATGTTAAGCCCTGTAACGAAACGTATTGGAAGTGTTTAATTAGAGCTCGGGAAATGAAGCTACAAGATGATTCCTTAATTAAGCAGTGATTAAGGATTTTCTGCTTCTATCTAACACAGTTTGCAATGCATTTTAAACACAATCACTCAGGCACCCTCACAGGGAACAATGTCACAAGGCTTTGATGAAGTTTGAACAAATGTCAGTGGGTAAAAGCTTGGCAGAGAATTAAAACTGCAGCAATATGCAGAATGTGTTTCCTACTAGTTTCAAATTCACAACTTTACCGTTAACCCTGACAAGCCATGCAAAGTTAGCTATAGAGCTATAGTCCATAATCTAGATTGCTTTATTTTATGATTGACATGATTATCATGGGAATCAAATTATGGCTGAGATCAGAACGTAACTCACTTATCATAAAGGAATGGAGATACTTAAGGCAGTGGGCAAAGAGCAGACGGCCTGGGCAAGATGAGGAGGGGTGGAGGCCTGCTGGGCTTAGGGTTGGCGGGTATGCAAGAGGAACCAGTGGGCTGTAAAAATCCGCTCTATATCACTGCTTCATCAAAGGACACCTCTGACGCCAAATCACAGTCACACGCACCACACCACACATTAAGGTCAATAACCTTAAAGGCAATTTACACAAAGAATTTCTTAGAGCAAGGTAGCAACAAAGTCATATTGTTTTTTTTCTCCTCCCTTTTAGCATTGTCTCAGCCAAGGAAGCCCTTCAAAATGTCAATCTGTATAGCGTGTAACTTTAAGGAGCTCAGGGCACTCTAATCCTGACCAGTAAGTCCACACCACAGACAAGTTGCAATGTCCGCAAGTCTAAGTATTTTAAGTCTTGATATAGGATTCCACAGTTCCATATGAGGCTGAATTCTGGCTAAATGACTTTAACTCAGACACTTTTCTAAAGCCACATACTGGTACCGGAGCTGTAGTGATTTGGACAAAGTAGTGCGATGGCTGCCCCCTAACCCTAACCCAACAACAGCAGCTGTCAGTTGATATTGCATATTCGGGTGTAGATGTAGATTGCTGTGCTAAAGATAAAGTCAACTGCAAGAAGCAACCTTTTCTCCAAAGTCAAGCATGGCTGTAAGACTTGCCCAATCTGAGAAATAGGTCTGAATGGCATACAATGTGTGGCAGGCAGAGCACAGTCTCTTTAAATGCCAATAAATTCCCATCATTACAGAATCTGGCAGTTTTCCTGCGTGTCTGCAGCCGCTCTTTATCTCGCTCTGCCTCAGTCTCGGAGCATGTAGATCTGGCCCAGTTAGATTGTCATACTTAACAAACATTAATGATTCATTTCCTGCACTGAGTCAAATGGGGCTAAAGGGATGACTCGATTCATCTTATCACACCACAAATTAGCATTTCTCCATATTCTCCAGCTCCAGTCGTGCATTCAAATTCCACATCCACCATTCTGGGCACTGGCAGCTGTGGCCAAGATGCTGCTGGAGATTCTGATCATTTCTGTGTCATCCTAAAGTGGCATAATTAATTCTGCTACTTTCTGTTTGTTGCTGTATGCCTCTGACTTTTTCAATGTCAGGTTATTCAGAGCGAGGTGACTGAAGGGTCAAGGTAGGCCTGTTGTTTGTTGTGTTAAGTCCTCTGAATTTTTTCCCAAACGTGGCACTGTGATTATATTATAATATTTTTTTTTTTTATTGAGGTGCAAAAGAGTGCACATTTTTAAATTTATCATGTTTGTTATGTTCTGACACAACATTCATAAGACCAAATAATCATAATTTTGAGCTGGAAAAAAAAAATACATGTAACATGCCATCAAAGAAAGCTGTTATATGGAGGAAATGAGACACATGAAGCAACATGTAAATTTGGTGTCAGAGCAAACTAAGGAAGTCATTTGTCATCACACAACACTTGGAGTGCACAAAGGCAGCAGCTTGTGGCAACACCCCGCTGAACTTCACAGTTAGCCAACAATAAAAGAGGGGGTAAAACAGCAAGGTGAAATTTCACAATTTCAGTAAAAAGATCCCATTCAGAGAAAGGCAGCTTTTGAACAAAAACCACAGGCAGGTGTGTCAATAGAGTATAAATCTTCAGTGAAGTCACAGTTTATCTGGAACTGTTCATAAAAGTGAAATCAGCCCAACAAAAGGAGCCACCTCACTGAGAATTGGTTTATATTCAAGGACATAACCAAGGACACCTCACTAAAACAAACTAAATTAAACACAGACTTAGACAGAAACATGCTATTTTGATAAGGGCATCTGTATTATATTCATGTAATCAACACACAGTACATAAGTATTGTCCTGTGAGTTCTATTTTATAATAAATATACTTCATGGAGCACGTTTACAAAGCATAAGAAAACAAAGTATGTCATTTTTTTTTAAATAAACAATGTTTCAAACCGTATATAAATAGTTCAATAGATAGGCCAAAGTAGTAGGCCAAGCTTTACATCAGTATTTAATATTGGACTTGGCGAGAGATTCGGGGTTTTCACTGATTAGTCCTGTTCATCCTGTCCTGTTTATCCTGTTCAGTAATTCAAACCAACTAAACATCTCCCCAATCGCTATATAGTGAACTAATCGCAAATGATTCCACGAGCCGACAACAAATGTTATAACATTTTCAGCTGAATACTACTCCACCGACGCAAAGAATTCACCAGTTCCAGGAATCAGTCGCCCAAAGAGAAAGACAATTGGAAGTTCTCCATTCTTTCTTGGATCAAGGTGCTTCATGCGTTTATCTGGGGAGTCCCCTCTTCCTCCAGGCAAATGGCAGTCTTTGGTGGCATTCAAGTTTCTGACCTTTGCGCCTTTAAGCAGCTTTGCTACTTCACCGCACTCTGATCAAAGTTAATAACTGCTTCATATGTTAATGAAAATTGGTACTCCCTCTTTGTGTTCCTACAGCTTTTTAATACCTATTATGAGCTGAAACTTTTAATGGAGGCTTTAGGTCCCCCTGACAAGCCCTATTTCAGACAGAACTACACAGATACAAGACTAAGCTATGGTCGAGGAATGGAGCGTCGTGGAGGAACCTCACACGGGAGACCTTAGCCACAGAAGATAAAGGCCATGGGATGAGTGGCTGCTCTAAAACCCACGTTCAAGTCCACACCGGGCTAATTACAGCATGCCATCACATTTGAGAGGGTTTAGCTAATCAGTATAGTATAGTGGAGGAATAACACACTTAAACCAGTTAATGCCCCTAGAATTGCGTCCCGGTTAATTCACTACACTTTTTGCATAAGTGGGGTAAATTTAAGCCACGTCGACATTACTTTTAAATAGATCTAATTGCAAAAGGGATCATGAGGGAGAATGGCTACACCTGATGGTTGGACACCACTTGCCATTAGTAGAAAGAGAATTCGGATAGGGCATCACGGGGTTTTAAATGTTCAATGTTCGACTTAGCTGCTCTAAGCTTAGATATAGCAAAGCATGGCACAAAACAGATTAACAGAGTCTCGAGAAGTCGTATTTTTGACATGTGGGATAGTGAGTGTTGACTTTATTCACAAACACAGGGATTGGGGAGAAGATTTTGGGTTGGAGCGGTTTTATCCAAAACAAGTGAAATATCAGTGCCTCTGACAAGGCCCTTTGAAGAAGTTGTACTTTTTCGTCTATTGGTAACAACCAATATGTGCCACGCCATCGGTTTAATAGCTGCTGGGTTATTACTAAGACTTTGAAGTATACAGAAGGACATATTAAGAGGGAGACAAAGGCTACGCAAACGTCGTAGCGTCGCTGGTAATTGCAATTTCCAAACAATTGCAACTGCTCGACTTTTGCCCAAGAACAAAAGAAAAACAAATTATTGATATGATTACTGGGGCATAGCCTACCTCAAACATGAAAGATTTATTCCCTTCAATAATGTAATCCCGAGGCACATCAGTTTAGGAGGTGTGGAGAAATAATTCCAAACAGTTTCCTTTGAAAATAGGAAAGACGCGGTCGACATTCAAAGTGCTGGTTCTTTATTAAAAAGTCAAATTTGTGGCGCCCGCATGTTAGTATGAGTGGGGACACCTGGGGTAGCAACGCCACACAACCGCAGGGGGAGAGAACGTAGTGAGGGAGGACCAGTCTGTCATCTTCACACTGTAACCTGGAGCAGACCACAAATTAGCTCCTGTGATGGCAAGGTGTGACCGAAATGAAACAAACATACAAAGAGGCAATCTAATTGAATTGGAGTTCAAAGACGACCTGGGTGCATTTGGCGCCTTTATAGTGCTGGACCTGGGAGCGGTTAGCAGGTGCTGTTCACAGGGAATTAGCGCTAGCTCAAAGAAGAGCTAGCTCTCCTGTGCTTTGGCGTATATACTATAGCACACCTTCCAGTGATAGCGATGCCATCTCACTCTGCACTGATCAAACCAAAGCTCTTAGTTGGATGTAAGAATTGAATATCAAATGAATCATTTTAACTCTTCTCTGAAGACGTACCTTTATTAAGAGTATGCAGTGTGCTGCCAGATTTAATTTGAACACACTCAAGTGCAGGAGGCTATAGCTTCCAGGTGAAGGTGCTTGGCACATGTATCTTAAGAAGAACAAAGTACAGTCATTGGTGTTGTGAAAATACCTACTTTTACTCAGTGATATTTCCTTTTTTGTTCTGATGATTGTTTCAACAACACTTTTTATACTGTTTATTTATCTAGCTGAACCTTTACCATTTATTTTAACTCCGCACACTTCTTGGCTTTGCTACATTGGGATCATCTCGGATGATTTCAAACCAGACACATTGGCTGCTGCAATTCTTACTTGGCACCACTGTTGCCAAACTTATTGTCTTAATGTGTATAAAGACAGACCCAGCACGGCACATTGGTTAAGGAGAATTTCATTTTTAGTGGAGGGTTTAAAATAACTTGTTGGTTAGCTCACCTTTGCTGCAGAAGTACTCCATGTCTTCACAAGCGATGTTCTCCGCCTCAAAGTCAGCCGAGAACTCATCTTTGGTCAGGAGTTCGTTCCCTTCGGAGACGCACTCCTCCTCCTCTTCCTCCAGGCCATCCTCCAGAGGACCTGCGGGACGAGAGCAACTAGCATGAGACATTTCATCACGCCCCACAGGCTGCACTTCACATCTGTGTTGGCTCTGTTTCTTACTATACTACAAATGCAAATGCAACTCCTTGTGTAGCACAGCAATCAATTGTGTTCAGCTTAAACTCAGAGGTCGATGTCATGGCTTGATATTTAAAAAAATTGAAATAAAATATAAGAGCGCACTATTTTTTAATTTAGAAACACTTTATTGTGTTTAGTGTGAGATATTTATGGACTGGCTATTTCTATGTGTTCATTTGCAAACGTCAGTGTTATAGTGATAATAAAGTTGTCGTCTCTTTTCTTGAAAGTGTTTTTCTCTGCCACAGCGAAACATCTTTCCCTAACCTGCTCATTATGCCTTTTACAGGCTCCAAAATTGGCATTGTTTGGTGGATGTTTGGTTATTGGGCAAAATAGAAGATAAGTCTACATGAAAATCGGATAATATTTTATAACTATCTTTCATATTGTCCTTCTGTTTAAGCTCTGGAGAAAGCACACAAACAAAGGTTACCACATATGCTAATCCCGCTACCTGCCAAACAAAACCACTTACAGAAACAGAATGAAAGTCCTTTGCAGACTTACAGGCATCAGCATGGGAGAGGCAAAGAAAATACTTTTATTAATTTGGTAGCCTTATCACAGGGTACAATGTTGATTTTTCCATTTACATTCCATGCCTCCGGGTAATACACCAGTGCAATCTTAAAGGAGACACTTTTCAGTGTGATTAATTTCCCCCTCCTCTATGCAATATTATTTCTTTAAATCTAAATTATTTCAGAGTTTTGCTTGTAGCTGTACATCTCTCCTTTGCTATTTGCATATTACTATTTTGCTTAAATCAAGGGTGTTGATGGAATTACCGCACGGCTACCTGACTTGTATTAATCTGGGGAAAAAACACATCTCAGACAGAATTTGAATTTTATTAAGATAATGCAAAAATGTTTGCCAAATTACAAGAGCAACATTTAAGAGCAACCCAAACAACAAGATGATTGACTTTTGATTCATATTTGATCATCCAAAGATGAAATAAACCTTTAGTATATGCCAAAGTAGCTTTGAGCAACTTTGTAAGAACAATTATTTTTCACTTTACTAATACAATCTGTATTGTATAAATATGAAGACATTGATAACAGCCTGTCGAACATGATGCAGCTCTTCTCCCTGTTTGTTCTATTGTAGAAGCCGCCTCTCAGCTTTAGTGCAGCCACAATTTCGCTTCACAAAGTGGGCCTCTCCTGATTCCCTTTCTTCCCACACTGCGCGTCATAAAAGACCCCCGTGATGTCCACAAACTGCTTGCTCTTTTCATTAGCCATCTAAATGAGGCCTTTGTAGCGGCGTACATCTGCAGGAGCTCCGGACATGAAAAGAATTAGCACGCACAGATCTTTAATACAGACACAGCAGCCGCGGCGGAGGCAGTGGAGCTCTTAAATGAAAGTACAGTTTTATGATCTTATCTGATTCCTTCTGCTGATTCGCCGAGGAGTGAAGTGAGGCGTGAAGGCACTCCATGAGGCTACCATCACTTAAGATGATACAGACAGATAAATATCGTACTATCAAGGCAAGATTGTGTGAGTGGCGTTAAACTACCTCCTGCCAAGGCAAGCCAAGTGAAAAAGACAGGGAAAATATGTTTCTATGCACACATTCTATTACGCAGCTGAACAAGAAGTGTGCGTACAAGTCGCCCGTGAATGCAGGCGCCTGTGCTTTTGCAGAATAGCAAATAGAGCTACAGTGTTGTGAGATAATAAGGGAACGGGAGATCTCAGATAAACTTCATGGTCAATAAGACACAAAGATTAGGCAGATAAGATGAGATAGAATTGAGCTTTAATAGACTCAGAATAAGGGCATCTCACTTCCCCACTCCAGAAGATAGCAACTAAATGGAGCATTTTCAAACTGATGGAGATAGGGGGCCCTGCGCTGAATATGGAAAATGAAATACTCGGCACACATTAAAAGAGCCCTGATGGCGACTCTGGGGGCAGATTACTAAAGTTTGTTTGCATTCTCACATGTTTAGTTTATTATACAGTATTCATTGCATGGAGAGACCTGAAATTATTTCAGAGACAGCAATGATAAGAATAATGACTTTCTAAACGACCAGCAGCGCACTCCTAACTCATTTTCTGATAGTGGCGTCCCCGCTATATTTAGTTGTGTACTGTTTAAAATCCTGTCACATTCACAGTGTGACCCACTCTTCTTTAGGCTCTGCTGCTGACAAACTGGGCCCTGGAATGTGCTCCAGCTTCTTATCACAAGTCCACTACACTTCCGATGACCAGCAACACCACAAAATCACTGCACTTGACTAAGAGCAGAAAAAACAGCAGCACGCGTCAAACCAAATAATGTACATGGTTTAAATACTTGTCTATAAAATGTATTGTTGCTCTGCCTACACAAAGCCCTGCCATCAACACTCCACCCTTGACTGTATCATCCGCATTCATCGGGCGCTTCCTCTTGACCGGGACAGACAGAAACTCCAGCCCTGTTCAAACAGCGGTGTGGCCGGGCAGCGACAGGAGCAGCCAATGCTAATAGAGCCGTCGTGAGGCTCAATCCTGCCTTGATCACACTGGCTCTTTTGTTCGTGCCATGGCCTGTGCGTGATAGGGATCTGCCATGCGGAGTGAAGCCGGGGAGGGGATATGGTAATGCCCCCGCAGAGTCTATAAAATGGGGTGATACTCTGAGACCCTATGATGGACACAGGATTAAATGAGTCGGAGGAGGACGGGAACAAGAGAGACAAGGACAGAGTAGTAAAGGGATAAGCGGGACTTATTTGAAAAAATTGATACAACTTGCTCAGAGATATGTTGTGTTGTCTTCTGACATTTATATCATATTTATATTTTTTTCACTGAGAATGTATGTATTTTTATATCACATTGTTAAAGTTTTTAGAATCACATAGAAAACCATGCAGGGTTTAAGCAATCATTCATGCATTTGCAAGGTTTAATCATCCAAAATGTATTTTTTTTCCCCCAGAGTTACTCCTTCAAGGTTTGTCTATTTTCATTGACGACTGCATCGCAAAAATATCTGCACATAAAACATTCCATTGATCTGGGCTTAAAAGTGGAAAAGGAGCAGCCTATAGATGTGCTATAGATCTCGCTATGCAAACTCACGCATGCAAACCAGATATTTACTTCAAAATTGTGAAGGGTTTCTCCTAATTTCACGGTATGCTGTTATTTTTTCTGCTCCTTCAATGTGGCATGCTTGTGGTCGAGCTGTGATAGCGATACCGCGCATTATCAGCTGGCTCCATAGTGTCATGTGTGTATCAAGAACCCAGCCTCTTCTATAGCGGGCTAATTAGAGGTGAGGTAATTGAATCTGACAGAACAAAGCCGCCAATCTCTATAAGGAAGGAAATCATTTTTTAGCTCCCACCTATACAGTTTTTTATCCATACAAAATGTGTCCAAGCTGGCCTGTGGATAAAACGTTAGCACCTGAGACTAAACATGAATGCATAATTGCGGTTCGAAAATCCAAAGCAGGTCTCCTAAGCTCAGCCCCTGCCAAAGCACACTCCCTGTGACTGCCCCTTTGTGCCAGGACTGATACGGGGCCCTCCTCACTTCCAGGTTAACACTGAAACTCGGCAGGACTATCCAAACCTCTGCAGGGCGGGAAAAAAGACATATGGACTTTGTTTCAGAAACTGCAAGTAGCTGCTTCATTCTCGGCCAGGTGGAAACACACTCATGTTGGCTCAGACAGCAGGACAAAGTCAAAATAGAACTATAAGTAGTGTTTAAACAAGGACTGCACAAAAATACTTATTAGCACAGAAGAAAAACTTGACAGAATGCGATATTGTTTGTCATTTGGGACATGGACAAACCGGAATTTGGGATCACTTGGGACAAAATAATGCTGCATCCCCTATGTCCAACAAAGTCATTTCATACACAATTTAACAAGTACCACCCAAGCCTCATTTGAACTTGTACAAAAGCTATAGTGAAGTGTAGGGAGAGGGAGAGAGGGAGAGAGAGAGAGAGAGGGGGAGAGCAAAGGAACTGGGGCCATCTCATCTCCACAGCTCTAATGACCTTTGGGAGGCAGGATGCTCCCTCAGCCCAACTGCACACTTATGTATGTTACAGGGCTCAAGTCTCTAATTTAATCCTTGATCACTAGAATGAAATAGATACCATTTACGCCACAACTAATGGCTTAATGCGCTAAAGAAAACCGCAAAAGGCTTTTTAATTTCAGCCGTATTTAGTGCATACTGTAAATAGTACCGTATGTGCTAAAGTTTTAATTTGAACAGTGAGAATCATGATATTTTCACTTTCACTTGTGAACATTAGGTAAATAAGTAAAAGTGAAGCAATGACATGTGGAGGAGTGGCAAGAGCACATTTGAGCCCATAGTGTTCTTAGCACTACAGGCCTTTCAAGTGTAATTTTTAGATAAGAAAATAGGACTGTGTACACATTAAAGGCTCTACATTTTATTCTGCTAAAGTTTGTATAACGTATTAAAGTATCTTGAATATCTTATCCTCTGATGGGCTAAAATGAGGTTAGCAACAATGGAAATTGAATAAATTGGCAGTATTTTGTCAAAAGTCCTAGTTCATAGTTTGAACCTGTTTCCTAGTTCAATATGATCAGCAGAGGGTTACTATTTCTATACTGTCAGTGTGCGCACAGGGAGGAGCAAGGAAGAGCTTCAGTGGAGACTAATGTGTTCACAGAGCCGCGGTCTGTGACCAAGAATAAGCCTTGCTATTGTTTAACTAGATTTTCCGGTTGCTAAGCAATGTAATTCTCATGATTAGAAATGGCTGCCTTCCTAAATTTGGGCACTTACAATCAACAGTAAACAAACGGCTTCAAAACTCAGCTATTGCCTGTAAGTTGAAGTGGAAACAACAACATTCAAACATTTATAATCACTT